ATCAGAGAAATGCAAATGAAAACAATGATCTTCTTCCTCAATATCTTCTTTCAAATATTTATTCTCACTGTGGACAAGCATATTGGAGGATAAATACTCTCATACCCACTGGAGGAAATGTCGATGGGTGTAATCTCGTGGAAAACAAATGTTTAAACCCTTTGACTCAGTCATCCTATTTTGAAGAGTTTATATTAAAGTCAGAGATACCAATAAAGTGTATGTGTGAAGATACTCACTGTGGCTTTATTTATCTTAGTTAGAAATTGGAAGCCACCTGAATCTCTAGCAATAGCAAAATGGTTATATTATCCATTTCTAAATTATATGGCCATTAGAAGCATATTTTCAAAGAATATTCACTGGTCTGGGGAAATCGTCATGTTATGTTAAATGAACATAGCAAGATTGCTGCCACAGTAGAATTCCAATTTTGCAATGTATGTGTGCAGTTAAAAAAAAACCGTAGATGGAAACAGTCAAAATATGAACAGTGGTTATCTCCAGGTGGTGATGGGAATTATTTCCTTTATTCTTTTCTGTATTTCCTCCTTGTCCTTCCTGGAAGATGTATTACTATCAAAACTGGACACAAAGGCACCCTGGAGCACCAGCTGAGGCCTCAGAGCCCTGGGCCAGCAGGTGTTTACCCTCTGCCTTGCCCAGGACAGAACTGTCCAGTCCCCTACCTGGGTGCCCACTTCACAGAGGCAGAGCCCAAGGACCCCTGTGAAGATTCTGCTCAGCAGTACCAAGTATTCCCTGTGTTTTAAAGTAAGGGCCCAAAGCCGGTGATTGACATTTAAGTGAGATCAATGTGTGTTTTCAGTCCCTCCAGAGACAGCCCAGGGGACTAAATAGACTTGAACTGCAGCACCCCCGCCACAGTCATGAAATTGTCCTCTCGAGATGACAGCACTGTGACTCCGCCTTTGGGGGAAGTTGTTACGTTTTCTGTCTCTGTGCCGGCCTGTCTGGTGACAGCTGGTCTGTGGCTGTCTTCTCAGGGACCCCCCCCCTCCCCCGGTGTGGCACTGATCTGTCCTGTAAAAGCCGGGACATCTCCGCTCCATCCTTGTGTTGCAGCCAAAGGCGGCAAGTGGTCAGCGCCTCCCTGACTGCTAGGAGGCTGGAAGCGGGGAGGCGCTTTCCTGTGGCTCGTTAGTTGGGCCTCTGTCTCGAGGTCAGTGTCCTCTCGGCCCCTCTGGGCTGTTGCTCTTGCTACTGCTCACTTTTCACGCATCTCCCGCGGTTCCTCCAGCCTGACCCGGCCTCTGGCTTTGGATGCTTCTTACCCTTCCCTCTCCCTGCCGCCCCACCTTTGGCCGCTCCCACTTCCGGCTGCCGCCACTTCTGGTGACTCCCCACTTCCGGTGGCCCCCGCTACTGGCGGGTCCCACTGCCCGTGGCTCTCACTTCCTGCCATGTCCATCCCCCGCTGCCCCCACTCCACCCGCTGCCCCACTTCCTGTGACCCTCATTCCTATGAACCTCCTACTTCCCGCCGCCACAGCTCCACTGGGACGTGACTGCCCCTTCCTCTCGATCTGCCCCCCTGTGTTTTTGGGGTTTGCATTTGGGTGTTGAGGCACCACTTAAACATATTCCTTTAAGTTAGAGGAGTAGTTGTGCACTTTATAGATGTGAGAGCGCCCGGTAATAACAGGGTTTCACACAGTAAGACGGGTGGAGAAGGAGAGCATGCTTTCCGGACGTCCCTGAAGTCTGGACGGATGGACCCCTTCCATGAGAAGCAGCAGGATTTCTTTCCTTTCTTCCTCAAATCTGCTTTCTGAAGTCGGAGCAGGTAGGACCGTCGGGATGGGGCAGTTTGAGGGTCCCTGATATGTCAGATGCTTCTTAGAAAAATGAAATAGAACATGAAGGTGGCCTGTGTCTCAGGGTCAACTGTCTGTTAGCCAAAGCTGTGTCACAGTGTGGCAGGAGGGCCTCTCCCTGGTATTTACAAGCTTCTGTTAGGGAAGGGTCTTGGGTTAACTTTTCTGGTTACTTCTTGCTCAAAATCCCTACTCGCTGGGAATTCCCAGCATCCACTCCCCACATTGCCTGTGTGGAGGTGGGAGTTGAGGTTGTGGGAACATGCTGCTGAAAAACAAACAGGCTGGGAAAACCGTGAGCCACTATACACGTGTGCTTTGGTGTAAAAGAAATGTGTGTTAAATAAACATTTCCAGTTTGGAGTTACTTGAATGTTGTCTCTATAGGAAAGGCAAAACAAGATGAAGCTGGAAAATATGCATTTTAAAGGCGCCAAGGTGACCATATAAAAAACAGGCATTGCATATTCTAGAGCTTATCTTTTTTTTTTCTCAAGAAACACTTTTAAAAACTTTTAAACAAAGACTAAGCTCTGTCATTGTCTTTGGAGCATTGCCTCCGAGCCAGCAGGACCTCTGAGGGGAGCAGGCCTTGTGAGGGGCTGGGATGTGTGGGATGGCAGCCGCTTGAGGGAACCCTGCAGGGTCCAGGTGGGGAGGGGCTCTGCTGGCCTGCAGTCTGGGTCTCTCAGATGGTGAGGACCTTCCTGTGGTGGGGCAGGGGGGAACTGCCTGGCTGTTCCTGAACCATCCTTTCTCCCCAGTCACACCCCAGATCATCTACAGCAGCCCCAGTCCCTTTCCTTCCTCCTTGGGTGGACATTCCCAACTTTTAACCAGCCCCTCATTGGCCTCCATGACCCTCAGTCTGTGCTAGTGTTGAATGCCTGAGTGATCTCTGTGCTGGGTTTGCAGGATGTTCAGGAGACTTATGGAAAGAGGTAGAAGGGAGCAGGGGGGACGTGAGAGGTCCTGTGTCCCTGATGGGTGAGGGCAGAGACCTTGGGGACATGGAGGTTCACTGCCACCACCATGTCATCAGCATTTCAGTCCTGTACCTGGGGACCTCAGTGCTCTTTCCAGGCCCATGGGAATCGGGACAGGGTCACTGGGTGCTCAGTAGGAACTTCTGGGGGCAACAGGCCTTTGGGCAAGTGCTAACAGTTTGTCTTATTCAGGTCTGTTAACACTCCTTTATGCAAATAATTTCACCATAATTGGAAGTATACTTAAAAGATAAAGAATTCTCTTCCACATCTATAATACTTTACAAAATGTTTGGCTCCTTAAAACCATAAAGTGATAACAAAATCTTTGAGGATGGTAAAAAATAATAGGTAAAAGCCTTGAGTCTGAAGTCAGCACACTGTTTGGGTCATGAGTTTGAAGTACAACTGTTGGTTGAAGGGCTGTTTTCTTCTTTAACAGTAAAGTGTCCGTCATCTTTCATCTTCTGTGCTTTGTGGTCCTTGAGTGGGACTGACTCAGCGGTAATTTATGCTGCTGAGCATCTGTCCTACAGAAAAAGTAGAGGGTAATTGCTCACGTGAGCACATCCTGAACCTAGAGGACGGTAGGTCTTAGTTGTTGGACTCTCACCTGCCCATCTCTATCCTCCCCCTCCTCCCACGCTCAGTCAGGGATGTTACCTTCCATCTTCTGAGGCTGTTCCACACACACCAGCCACCCCTCCCAGCCTCCCCAGCTGGGCACCCCTGGTGCCTCTGCTCACACGAGTCACTGCCTGGAGGCTGCCTGACCTGCTGCCTCTCTAACCCTGGTTCAGATGTTACATGTGACTTAAGACGTGTGTAAATGCTGCTGTCCCTCATTCAGCCTGTCTCTTCCTTGCTTGTCTTCAGGCAGACCCTCTAGTTGGGGTAGGTCAGTTTCCTAGGTAAAGGGAAAAGCCTGGTTCAGCAGATATGCTTTTACTGTCCCATACTCATTCCCATCTGGCCATTCTCACCTGGCCCATCCTTCAGTGATCACAGCATCCTCTCTCATCTCTTTTGAGCAGTTTCCTCAATGAACAGTGTTCGTTTTTAATGAGGGAGAATGTCCTCCAGATTTCCAGCAGGGCTTGTTCAATCTAGTAATCTTTAGTTTTTTAGTTTTTTTTTGAGGGGTGGCGGTGCAGGTAATTAGGCTTATTTAGTTAATTTTTTTTTTAACGGTGGTACTGGAATTGAACCCAGGGCCTCATGCACGGTGAGCACACACTCTACCACTTTAGCGATATCCTCCCCTCAACTGATCTAGAGATCTTTAGAATCAGAGACTTAGGTGCACGCATTCCAGTGGTGGTGCAGGGAGGATGTGGCCTGCAGGGGACTGTAGGGACCATCAGGGGATGGCAGGGAGGCCATCAAGAGGACCATGTTCCTGGAGTTAATTGTCCCGAAACCATCTTGAAAACCCAGATTGTACTCGTGTTATTTTATGTTTTCAGAGTTGTTTTCAGATTCCTTTTTCCAAAACTAATTTCAAACAAGGGGAGCTACCTGGAGACAGGATGGAGAACTCAAGAGTAACTCTGATCCACCTGGTGGGACCTCTCATCCACAGCGTTACTGAGGCAGAGCAACGCTGACCACTTGAAAGAGTTGGCAAAGGCTTACCAGGGAACTGTTTCACTACTGAGTTGAAAAAATAAAGTTCTGCATTCTTTTGGTTGTTGATATGAATGTTGACATTTGTTGATGGTTTCTCTGCCTACCTGTGAGCATCGTGCATACAGTCATGTTGGTCAGTGTCAACACTCAACGCCAGGACACTAGAAGAAAGAGTCGCTCGTCACATCTACGATCTGTCCAGAGTGGATTCTGTGACCTGGGCTGACTTTTGTCCAGCAGGCAGGCAGAGCTGTCCTGCGCAGTGCCCAGGTACCCATCCTGAAGTCCCCGAAGGAGGTGAAGTCTGTATTGGGAGGACACCTACACCAGGGCTGAATGGCTGACAGGTGCCAGCCACAGGGACTCTTGGATGTCCACCATGTATCTTCATTTCAAGTCCACAGACCTCAGTGTTCACATTGGATGCTGTTCCCGCCCTGTGTGCTGTCTTACGGAGCGCTTGTGTCTGAACAGAAAGATTGTCACCTGCAGGTCAATGTTTTTAAGAAGCACACCTGGTAGCTTTAATGAGAAAGGAAAGGGTCTTGTGATCACTTCAGCAGCACAGGTACCAAAATTGGAATGACACTGAGACTATTTTTAGCGTGGCTCCTGTGCAAAGATGATACGAAAATTCGTGAGCATTCCACATTTCTGTACACCTGCAGCAAATGTGATCTTGTAGGTCAATTTTAACTCAATAAAAGAAAGAAAAGGAGAGGATCTTGTTATTATATTTATGAAACTGAAAAGTTAAATAACTGGAAGTTGAATAAGCCTCACTTTCTAAAGAGACTAAAAAAATGTTCGAGAACCTGGATCCTTAGTGAACGGGACAAGAAGTAGTAGTTCAGACAGACACGGGTGGGATTAAGGGATCTTAGCCCGGCAAAGTGGTGAAGCTGTGTCTACACAGAACCCCCCTCACTGTGTGTTTAGTGAGGCGAAAACACTTCTACTGGGTAGTGGGGGTGGTTAAAGGGGCTTTAATCCCTTCAAACCACAGAATGGCTTCTTTTCTCCTTGGAAATCTTCAATGATTCGATGTGCTTCCAAGGTTGGATTATTTTTCTGATTTTTTGGCTCATGGTCCCAACCATGAGACATCACCTCACACCTGTCAGAATGGCTATCACCATTCTGTAACAAGTGTTGGTGAAGATGTGGAGGAAGGGAGCCCTCCTGCTCTGCTGGTGGGAATCTAAATTGATGTAACTGCTATGGAAAACAGTATGGAGGTTCCTTAAAAAACTAAAAATAAACTTACCATAGGATCCAGCAATCCCACTCCTGGGCATGTATCTAGAGAAGACTCTAATTCAAAAAGATACATGACTATTTACAATAGCCAAGACATGGAAACAACGTTAAGTGCCCATCAACAAATGAATGGATAAAGAAGGTGTGGATTATATATATAATGGAATATCACTCAGCCATAAAAAAGAATGAAGTTTTGCCACTTGCAACAACATGCATGGACCTGAGGGGTATTATGCTTAGTCAGACAGAAAAAGAAATACTGTGTGTTTTCACTTATATGTAGAATCTAAAAAAAAAATGAAACGAATGAATAAAAAGATAATTAAAAATTATTCGATTTGTTTTTCCAATTACAAAAAGTTTATGCTTATTGTAAAAATTTCTGTTTGGCAAAACAACAGGCCCCCCACCCCAGATGTCCATGTCTTAATCCTGGGAACCTTTTAGGTTACGTGGCAAAGGTGATATGGATGGAGTTAAGGTTGCTAACCAGCTGACCTTGAGAAGAGTGATTGTCTGGGATTATCTGAGAGAGCCCAGGGTCCTTATGGGTGGAAGAAGGAAGCAGAAGAGGAGAGTTAGAAGGAGATATGGCTATGGAAGAATGGTCAGAGGGATACCACACTGCTGGCTTCGCATAGGGAGGAAGGGGCTGGGAGCCAAGGACTGTGGGCAGCCTCGAGAAGCTGGGAAAGACATGGAGGTGGAGTCATTCCCACAGCCTCCACAAAGCCACGCAGCCTGCTGACACTGTGATTAGTCCTGACATCCTTGTTCCCAAGGCAGAGCTTCTTCCCTGGATTTCTGGTGTTTGGAGATGCTTGGGGAGGGCATCCTGGAGACACCAGCACAGGAAGACAGTCCTGGGTAAGGAGGAGCTGGTCAGAACCTCAGTTACACTCTGTGACACCTCAGAGGTGTCTGCAGGACCCTCGGGACAGTGGCTGCTGGGGACCCCTTCGTGTTGGCTTGTGCGTGTGGCTCAGGAAAGCTGGTGAGTAGCTGCCCCTGAGGAACAACTGTGGGGAGGGGGCAGCTGTAAAGACCAGAGCCCGGAACCTTTGCCCCACCTTAGGGACCTGTTACTCAGGCCCAGAAGTGCATTGGGACCTCACAGTTGCCAGGACACGGATCTGCACTCTGCTTCCAAGTGGATGAGAGCGTGCAGTGTGTCCCCTCTCAGATCCTGCCCGAGGTGTGAAAGGGCTGGATGGAGAGGGGCTTGGTCACCACCCAGGGCTTCTGTCTTGGGAGGACCCTGCTTGCTGCCCTGACAGTGCCGTCCTGTAAGTGGGCGCTCCGTGGGCTCTGGTGCATGTTTTGCTGAAATTGGGACACGCTGCAGACAAGAACTGCTGACAGTGGCCAGAACTCCCTGTCTGTGATGTTACAGATGAAATGTGATTTCTATGAGAAGAAACATTCTTATCAGGGCTGGCATCCCTTTTAAAACACCCTAGAGCTTCTGATCATTTCTAGCCGAGAAGCAAGGGGCTCTTTCTTACAGGTGGTAGAGCACAGCCTTCCAGGTCAGTGGAGTGCTTGTGGAGGCAGAACCTAGATGCCACATGGAGCTCAGGGTGTCTAGTTTGGATGGTCATCTCCCCACAACAGCATTTGTAGTGTTTATCTGACTTCTGTAAGACAGCACCTCTTGAAGATTCACCTGGAGACCCGGACATGCTCTGGTCCAAAAGCTTTCTGCCCCTTTCTTGATAGTGGATCCATGCTGGGGTGATCAGCATGTGCAGACTCTCCCATTAGGACCCCAGTAGGGAGTCTTTTCCTCCCAAGAATGATTCTAGGATGCACACTAGTCCTAGCTTCTGTTATCACCAGTTGTTAAGGTTGAGATTAAAAGAGAGAATCCTTATTTTGATGACCTTGTGTGTCAGTGTTATTACTTCCTCAGTGTTGACAGCTGTTTGTGGGTCTAATGTATTTCTGTGGACCACAAACTCGTCTTTCTGCAATCTGTAAGACCACCGAGGTGCTGTCTACTGAGTTCTTTGTGCCCCACCAGCAATGCCATAGGTGTCCTGACCCTCTTCTCTCTTTCCTGTAGCACCTGTGACCTTAGAACATACCATATACTTTACTATGTTGTTTTGTATATATATGTTTTTATTGAAGTATAGTTAGTTTACAATGTTGTGTCAATTTCTGGTGTACAGCATAATGCTTCAGTCATACATGAACATACATTTATTTGTTTTCATTTTCTTTTTCACCATAAGTTAATAAGATATTGAATATAGTTCCCTGTGCTATACAGTGGGAACTTGTTGTTTATTTTATATATGTTAGTTAGTATCTGCCAATCTTGAACTCCCAATTTATCCCTTTCCATTCCCTTCCCCTGGTACGTATGTTTGTTTTCTCTGTGAGTCTGTTTCTGTTTTATAAATAAGTTCATTTGTCCTTTTTTTTTAGATTCCACATATAAGTGATATCATATGGTATTTTTCTTTCTTTTTCTGGCTTACTTCACTTTGAATGACAATCTCCAGGTCCATCCATGCTGCTGCCAGTGGCAGCATTTTATTCTTTTTTATGGCTGAGTAATATTCCATTGTATAAGTATACCACAACTTCTTTATCCAGTCATTTGTTGATGGACATTTAAGTTGTTTCCATGTCTTGGCTATTGTAAATAGTGCTGCTGTGAGCTTTGAGGTGCATGTATCTTTTTGAGTTAGAGTTCCCTCTGGATATATGCCCATGAGTAGGATTGCTGGATCATAGATTAAGTCTGTTTTTAGTCTTTTGAGGAATCTCCATGCTGTTTTCCATAACAGCTGCACCAAATGACATTCCCACCAACAGTGTAAGAGAGTTCCCTTTTCTCCACAGCCTCTCCAGCATTTGTCATTTGTGGACTTTTGAATGATGGCCATTCTGACTGGTGTGAGGTGATACCTCATTGTAGTTTTGATAAATTGGAAGAGAAGAGGTAAAATTGTCATTACATACAGATGACATGATACTATATGTAGAAAACCCTAAAGGCCACTCCACTAGCCTAGTTCTGGAAGGAGACATCATGAACTTGCACCACAGTGCCCCCCAGGGACCCATCTGGTGGTGGGAAATAGAGTGTTATTCCCATAAACCACTGAGATTTGGTGTCATTCACAACTGAGTCAAATAAACAACTGTGAGACAGAGGTTTTTGAAACAAGGAACATGGATGATGGAGGGAGAATGGTGCTGGTGTTGGCTTGAGGGGCCCCTGGGGTATCTGGACACCAAGATGCCCAGTGAGCACGTGGGTGTGAGTGTCTGGAGCTCAGCAGGGAGGCTGGGCTGGAGTGAAAGACTCGGAGCCATTGCCATAGAAACGGCAGTGAGCCTAGAGAGGGTGTGAGCTCACCTGCTCATCTGGGAAGATGACAAGAGACAGGACCCCATCTTCCCAAACTGAAGCTCTATGCACATCAAACACCAGCTCCTGTCTCTCTTCCCTCAGCCCGTGGCAGCCACCATTCTACTTTCTGTATCTTTGACTTGGCCTGTTCTGGGGACCTCATATAAGGAGAATCATTCAATATTTGTCCTCTTGTGTCCTGCTGATCTCACTGAGCATAATGTCCCCAAGGTTCATCCATGTTGCAGCAGGTGTCATTGTTTCCTTCCTTTGGAAGGCAGAATACTATTCTGTTGCATAGAGAGAGCACATTTTGTTTCTCCATTCATCCGTCGATGGACACTTGGTTTGTTTCCACCCTTTTCTATTGTGAATGATGCTGCAGTGGACATGGGTGTCAATGCCCTTGGGTGTCTACCTAGAAGTGGAGTTGCTGGCTTGTATGGTAATCCTATGCTTAATTATTTGAGGAACCAGGGAAAGATTTGTTCTTAGGAAGGGGGGACAGTATGTTGGCCTGTGGGTGGGAGGACTCAATGGAGAGACTGAAGGGACGTGGGAAAGGGTGACCCACGGGGCAGGCCGTGGGTTGATTTCATTGATAGGAAGCTCAAAACAGGCAGTTCATCCGTGGTAATAGAAGCTCTAGTAATGATGGTGGAGGACAGGGGTGTAGAATTCAGGAAGAGGGAGAGAGGCCAGGAGAACTCCTTGTCATCCAGGGCTGGTCGGCCCCATTGAGAGAGGCCTGGTGACTTGGTTCAGTTGGGGAACAGGGATGTGAGGAATGGCAGCCGAGCTCAAGTTGGAAACTAGATATTTCATCAGTTGTCACAGCTTCGCAGTTTTCTTCAAAAGTGTTGGAAACTTGGGAGCGATCTTTTTCTACGTATTAAGGTCGGAAGTGAGTGGTGGTTGTAATTATATACATGCAATGTTAACTCAAGGTCACTTCAGAAAATTTTGTGATTAAGGCATAATATTCTGCTGTTGATAGAATTACAATGTTTTATCTGTGCAAAATGG